ACCCAGTAATAAATGTTGCAAACAATAAACAATTGCTATTTACATACAATTTATAAGTAATCTACTGTCAACAACATTAATTCAAACTATAAATATTCTTAATTTTTTTTTTATTATTTTTACAATTTAGAAAAATGATTTAAATCTTAAATATGTGTCATTTACATTATTTGGTTGTTTCATTTGTTGTGTCTTGGTGGCATGTTGTTCTTTTGTCGGGGTGACTGTAGAGATTTTGGATTTGTTGTTTTGATGTTGCTGCCGTTGTTGATTTAAAATTTATTAATGATTTTTTTGTTGCTGTTATGTTGTCAGTATTTTTTAAGGTGTGTGCTTATTTCATGTTGCATTCACGAAAAAAATAACACCGTTAAAATTCTTTGTTTTAATCTTGAAATTTATTGAATGTGTTCGCGTTAAGAAATTATGATTTATATTTACACTGAAAAAAAAAAAAAATAGAGTAAAATATTCGATTCACAATATTATGCCTATATATTAGACTATTTACTAGATTATATATATATATATATATATATATATATATATATATATATATATATATATATATATATATATATATAACAGACTTTAGACTAAACTATAGACTAGACTTTAGACTAGACTATAGACTATACTATAGACTAGACTATAGACTAGACTATAGACTAGACTATAGACTGGAATATACTCTAGACTAGACTATAGACTCGACTAGACTATACTCAAGACTATAGACTAGACGACTATAGAATACACGACTATAGACTAGACGACTATAGACTAGACGACTATAGACTAGACGACTATAGACTAGACGACTATAGACTAGACTATAGTCCAGACATGTCCTTAACATTAGTCTTAAACACCAGAGACTTTTAGAAGGAATAACGCTCTATTATTGAACTATGCTGACACTTTATAATTGTATACCGTTCTTACAGAATTTAAAGAAGTAGTATATGGTTCCATGGATGTAAGATCCACAGAACGATATACGATTCTAGAAAAAAGAAAATTTTCGTTAAGTGTATTCAGTTGAGCATTATAAACATTAACAAAATACATATTTCAATGTGTAGCAGTTTTCCAAATTTTTATCAATTCATTCATTATTTTTTACGATTTGTTTTGTTTAAAGGTGCATTAATATGTCTTTTAGGATTTAAGCGGAAACCGATCATGAATCATACGAATACTCAACTAAAATTTATGAATGTTTTTGTATTATTATTGGGCAGGTTAAAGGTCATTCTAAAAATGGATTTTTTTATGGACTTAAGACATAACTTATAGAAAATATTATAATTTGAAGATTTTAAATTTTATCTAGAGAAGTTGGAACCATTTCCATTTCAAACAATTTATTTAAAAACATCTTTCTTACCGAAACTTCTAATGGTCCTTCGGCTCAAAATTTTTGAAATATTAAAATTTCAAACTGAAAATTCTACTACTTAAAACCTGTTATATTAACATTAACAAATATCCATTTAATATTACAACTATTAAAGCTTCAATTCCACAAAAAAATATTTAAATAAATAACTATTCACTACAAGAAAATCTCTTAAAAGGCATTAATTAAGCTGCATTTTCGCCTTCACATTTGCTTACATTTCAATACATATATTTGCCAAATATTTTGACAGTTGTAAACGTTTTGCGTCTTAATTTTTTTCCCAGTTTATACACGTTTTTATAAATGTTAATTTCAATTAACGCTCTTTTGATACCACATGAAAAAGAAACAGAAATCCAACAAGAAACTTTAAATCTTAAATATAACTTCTGTTACAACACTTGAGTATCACAGATTGTTGACAAAGAAGTTTATTTTGTTTTGGTGTGGTGAAAAGTTGTTTATTATTTTTTGTTGTTTGTCATGATAATTGCTGTCATTGTCTTGTTAATAAACTTTGTTGAAAAGAATATTTTTTAATTAAACGTTATTAAAGAAATTAATAAAAAGTTATATTTAAAAAAGTTTTCTATTCCAATGGATTATTTAGAAACTTTCTAAAGGACACAGTGTTTTCGAAAGTCTCGTGAAATTTAAAAAAAAATAAACTTTTAAAGCGACAATTATGAATAGGATAGACTATGGAATAATCTATAATATAGGCAATAGAATAGGAAATATTTTAGACTATGGACTTGACTATTGATCAGACCATAGACTTGACTAAAATTCAGACTATAGTCCATTATATAGACTAAACTGTAGACTAGACTATAGACTAGGCTATAGACTAGGCTATAGACTAGACTATAGACTAGACTATAGACTAGACTATAGACTATACTATAGACTAGACTATAGACTAGACTATAGACTAGACTATAGACTAGACTATAGACTAGACTATAGACTAGACTATAGACTAGACTATAGACTAGACTATAGACTAGACTATAGACTAGACTATAGACTAGACTATAGACTGGACTATAGACTAGACTATAGACTAGACTAGACTATAGACTAGAGGCTAGACTAGACTATAGACTAGAGGCTAGACTAGACTATAGACTAGACTATAGACTAGACTATAGACTAGACTATAGACTAGACTATAGACTGGACTATAGACTAGACTATAGACTAGACTATAGACTAGACTATAGACTAGACTATAGACTAGACTATAGACTAGACTATAGACTAGACTATAGACTAGACTATAGACTAGACTATAGACTAGACTATAGACTAGACTATAGACTAGACTATAAACTAGACTATAGACTAGACTATAGACTAGACTATAGACTAGACTATAGACTAGACTATAGACTAGACTATAGACTAGACTATAGACTAGACTATAGACTAGACTATAGACTAGACTATAGACTAGACTATAGACTAGACTATAGACTAGACTATAGACTGGACTATAGACTAGACTATAGACTAGACTATAGACAAGACTATAGACTAGACTATAGACTAGACTATAGACTAGACTATAGACTAGACTATAGACTAGACTATAGACTAGACTATAGACTAGACTATATACTAGACTATAGACTAGACTATAGACTAGACTATAGACTAGACTATGGACTAGACTATATACAAGACTATAGACTAGACTATAGACTAGACTATAGACTAGACTATAGACTAGACTATAGACTAGACTATATACTAGACTATAGACTAGACTATAGACTAGACTATAGACTAGACTATAGACTAGACTATAGACTAGACTATAGACTAGACTATAGACTAGACTGTAGACTAGACTATAGACTAGACTATAGACTAGACTATAGATTAGACTATAGACTAGACTATAGACTACTATAGACTAGACTATAGACTAGACTATAGGACTATAGACTAGACTATAGACTAGACTATAGACTAGACTATAGACTAGACTATAGACTAGACTATAGACTAGACTATAGACTAGACTATAGACTAGACTATAGACTAGACTATAGACTAGATAATAGACTAGACTATAGACTAGACTATAGACTAGACTATAGACTAGACTATAGACTAGACTATAGACTAGACTATAGACTAGACTAGACTATAGACTAGACTATAGTCTAGACTATAGACTAGACTATAGGCTAGACTATAGACTAAACTATAGACTAGACTATAGACTAAATTATAGACTAGACTATAGTCTAGACTATAGACTAGACTATAGACTAGACTATAGGCTAGACTATAGACTAGACTATAGACTAGACTATAGACTAGACTATAGACTAGACTATAGACTAGACTATAGACTAGACTATAGACTAGACTATAGACTATACTCTAGACACGACTATAGAATAGACGAATATAGACTAGACGACTATAGAATACACGACTATAGATTATAGACTAGACTATAGACTAGACTATAGACTAGACTATAGACCAGACTATAAACTAGACTATACTATAGACTAGACTATAGACTAGACTATAGACTAGACTATAGACTAGACTATAGACTAGACTATAGACTAGACTATAGACTAGACTATAGACTAGACTATAGACTAGACTAGACTATATACTAGACTATAGACTAGACTATAGACTAGACTATAGACTAGACTATGGACTAGACTATATACAAGACTATAGACTAGACTATAGACTAGACTATAGACTAGACTATAGGCAAGACTATAGACTTGACCATAGACTGGACTATAGATAAAAATTATTATAAAATATAGTAAGGCTGTAGGCTAGATTTTAGTCCAGATCATTTATACATACTTTAACAAATACCATATTCTTGTGTTTGCCAACTGTCACTATTCACCAAAAAGAAAATGTAAATCCCCTTTAAAGCAACTTAATTATAAGTAAAAACATGAATTACTTTAATACCCATTCATAGTTGTAGTTGGCCTTATTTCCATGGATTCAAAACATTTGTGATTTGCTTCAGTACGTCATAATAATAATTTCACAATAATGTGTAAGTAAATAACAAATACATAATAAAAATATAAACTTAAAGAGAGAGAGAGAGAGAGAGTGAGAGATATATAAACAAACATAAAATATTAAAATAGTCAAACTAAACTAAAAACATATTTTAATACATAGGTTAGGTCGAAACTTACAGCCCACTGCACTAAAATGCAACTTATGTCAGGCAGGCAAATTTAGTGTTTGAGTACTTTTTTCAGTACTTTTCATTATAATTTGTATCCCCACGATAATTTCGGTATTTTTTCTAACCTATAAACTCTTGATAAGTAGTCCTCATATTAGTCAATAGACTAGTGAACACTTAGTCTACAGTTTAGTCTGTAGTCTAGTTTATAGTTTAGTCTAAATTTGTGACATCTTCCAATTTCAAACATATTACACACAGATGTGTAGGGTATAAAAAGAGCTATTTTTTTGGCAATGACTAATACGCGTGACTCTCTCTTAAAAATCCAAACAACTGAAAAAAAATATAAACACCGGCCACTTATCGACTATATAAACAGCAAATATACCGGCACCGGCTTTATTATTCTTTAAATGATAAAGCAGAGAGCTTTAAATAAAAAATTCCAAAAGAAATAAATAAATTACACAAAATATAGAACAACAACAAAGACAAAAATGGCACAAATTATACAAATGACAACCGAACAATTACAACAACTCATACAGTCCGTCCGAGCTACAGCTACAAGTGGCAGTGATTCAAATTCTTCAAATATCATCAAATCCAAAGGAAATTTCAGTAATTGTTGTTCCCGTTTTGGGGGTGAACGTGATCATGAAATTGTCGAGGAATTTATTACCTCAATTGTAACCTACAAAGAGATAGAAGCGATAACCGATGAAGATGCCTTAAAAAGTATTTCATTATTGTTCCATGGCATGGCCTCAACCTGGTGGCAGGGGGTACGTAAAGAGGTGAAATGTTGGAATGATGCTTTATCTTTGATACGTGATCATTTCTCACCCACCAAACCGGCTTATCAAATATATGGTGAAATTTTTGAACAAAAGCAGGATGATCGCAAAGCTATAGATACCTTTGTGTGTCAAAAGAGAGCCCTATTGGCCCAACTGCCCGATGGTAGACATGATGAAGAGTGCGAAATTGATTTTATTTATGGTCTTCTTAATATCAAATATCGCAAATATATTGCCCGTCATGATATCAAAACATTTAAAGATTTATTGGAAAGAGGTCGTGTGATAGAGCAAAATATGCGTGAAGATCAAGTTCAAATGAGACATCAAGTAAATTCAGCTAGAGTTCCTAAGAGATGTACAAATTGCAATTATAGGGGTCATACTTTTAGAGAATGTCGTAAACGTAAAAATACTGATAATGCTAGTCATGGTGATCCAAAGCGTCGTGCTAATGCTCCAGAAGAACAAGAAGAAGGAACTAATCCGAATTGTAGTATGTGAACAGTTGAATGGTTAATGAACCTAACTGTCCAACACCCTTTCTTTAATTTTAGTTCAATTTTTAAACACTTGCATGTATTCATAAGTATTACCATTTTATTTATATTTAATAATTTATTATTAACAATAAATATTAGCATAATTTAAATATTAAACTTTCATAACACTTTTATTTGTAATTAATTTATTTATATTAATCCTACAGATTTTTATTTGTTTTTCCATTCAAACCCTTCATCTGTAATTTAAGATCTAGTTTAACATATTATTTCAATTATTATTAATGTTTATTCTTAAGAAAAACACTATTTTCAGGTCTAATTGTAATTATTTTAAAGAATTTTTTAAAAATAAAAAAGAAATAAAAAAATAAAATCTTTTGTTTAAATATTAAAAAAAATCATCGATCTCCCCGACGGGGAATTGAACCCCGGTCTCCCGCGTGACAGGCGGGGATACTGACCACTATACTATCGAGGATATATTAGTTCCAGTGACAATTAATGTTGAATTACCAAAAGGTGAAATAGAACTTGCTAAATAAACATTCAACACTGCACTGCCTTAACTTAAACATGGTTGATAACTGTATTATCTTCATAGAGCACTGTATTGCCGACTATTATAGATTACTGCAGAAAATGGAGATGCCATCTAGTTTTAGTAACAGAAAACGAGTATTAAAGGAAAAAAAGAGATTTTTCTTCACAAATAAGGAAATTCAGCTTTGCATTCTATTGAAAGGTAATTTCCTTATGAATAAATGTTATCTCGGATAGGTAAAATATTAAAAACAATTGCAAAAATTATTCCTATTTATAACTTCGTGGGAGGCGTATACAGTATTGTATTTGTATTGAAAAATAAGGTGTTCTTAACAAAAACGAATCTTCAGTTCATTTTCAGAACTTTTGTACCGGCGACAGTATTGCGAGAGATGAGTCAAAGGTTAAAAAGGTTCTTTTTAAGTTCTTTTTCAATCTCTTTATATGTGCGTATGTATATAAAAAAGAAGCGTTACAGACTGATTCATTTGAAATATAATATTTTAACAGTCAATGTATTTTTGTTTATGTAGATCCACTAGGGGTAAAAATTTGTAAATTTCATAACCACATATCTTCTTAACAAAAAGATTAAAAAAAAAAAACGGAAATTCGCAGTAAAAATTGCACTTATTTTTTAATTGACATATTAATAGGCTCTTACTGCGATATTGCATTTTTTGGACAAGCACCCAGAATACGCCAGTTTGTTTTATATTTCATGTAAAATAATGTTAGAAAATTTTGATATCATTTGAAAGATCTTTCTATTTATACATAATTTTTATTAAAATTTTACAGTTATTTAGATTATTGTATGAAAAATGTGAAAATAAAATTAAAATATTTTGAATTAATATAAAAATTGGATATTTTTTGGCTATATTGATTACAAAATTATAAAAAGTCACGAGTTACTATTTTTGGACATCAAACTATTTGAGAATACTTGGCCTAAAAAGTTGAAATTTTATAAGAAATCGGCGAAAACTCTCATCTTTATTTTGAATGTCTATTATTTTCGCTTAAGCGACTTTTTGTTTAAGAAATCATTTCTACTGGTTTATTAGAGTTTGTTGTTAATTCATAGAAATAAGTTTACAAAATATCAGGAGATATATGGGTCCATTATAAACATAAAATAGACTAAGCTTTGCCTATTAAGAAATTCGTAGAAGACTTTTTCAAAAAATGTCGAAAAAAGTTCTATGTAAAATTTTTGGCGAATACAAAAAAGTTTAAAATTTAAATAAATTTCTATTTATGACAATCCGTTAATTAAATTTTTTTTGTTATATAGACCTTTCTATTGAAAATGTAAAACTGAAAAAAAAATTTGAAAGTTGTTATCACGAATCCCTCAATTCCCAAAAAATGTTTTGAAAAAACCTATATTTTTTAGTTTTTTTGCCTAAAATATTTATAACAGTGACTGAATTCCACGATTTGGGACTATACAATTTAAAAATTTTATCCTAAGTTGAATTTTTCATACAAATTTGACTTTTTTGGAAGAACATTGTCTTGTCAATATGAAAACTTTTCAATTTTTTTTGTTATTTATTGAAAATATTTCGTTTAAAGTTAGCTATTCAAAAAATATAAATGTTTTATACGTCTGATAAATAATTTTTAGATAGGTTAAAAAGAAAGAATTCGTTTTAGTTAGTCCAACAAAAGAAAAATGGAGAAAATCGGCGAGTATTTGGATCCGCTGTTGTCGAAAAACCGGAATAGGATTTAATAATAGAATATTTAATAATGTAAATCTGCTAAATTATAAGAGATGATTGATTTATGTAATTTTTCGGAAATCGAAACACCAACGATGATATAGAATCGTTTTAAAAATTTAACATAGCAGAGGTGTTCTTTATTGTGGACCCCTGGCCACAACCCTGGTAAACCTATGAGGTGTAACTTCAAAACTTTAACTCCTTAACACTTCGTCTTTACGCATATGAGATTTCATTCAAATCGCATCAACCGTTTAAAAGTTACCGAAATATTTCCCTCTTGATTTATCTATACCACTTTATAACTTGAAATTTTTACTTTCAAATGATAATATTCGGTAATTTAATAAACTTTAGCTACGTTAAGGGCTTTTATAGTACTAGAGCAAAAGATTTTATATGTATATGTTTATTAAAAAACAAAAAAATTTTATTGTTTTAAATTTTTCACATACCCTATTTTGAACACCTCTGATGCGGCCCCTGGTGGTTTAAAAGGTCAAAATAACAAAACCTAAACTCCATAAAACTTCCTCTTTACATATGTAAAATTTTATTGAAATCGAAGCAACCGTTTACAAATTACAGCTATATTTTCATAACGGTAAAATTGTAAACAAATTGCTCTAAACTTAGCCGTCTGGCAGGCAATGTTAGGACGTCGACAAAATTTTTAGTACCTGCCGCCACGGCCATTAATTTCCTGACGGCGCAAGTCACTGCAGTCTGCAGCGCACAGATAAACTTCAGTCTGCAAGCAAAGAACATGGAGTACGGTTGTTAATAAAAAACGAAGCGGATAAATTTACGGTCGCATAATTTTAAGAATACTTGTTATTACTATAAAAAAACAAAGTGTAGTGTTTTCTTACAATCAAAATAATAAACAAAAAACATACAAGTGAAAGTTAAGAAATGAATGAAACAGAATTTTAACAAAATAGTTGATTAATAAAAGAAAATTGAAAAAAAAATATTAGTCTGATGGCAAACAAAAAGTGAAGTTGTGAAAAAATTTATGGAAACACAGGAGATCTTAAAAGGGTCCCATTAAAAAAAAGTGTGATAGAGAAAGAAAGAAAAAGGAAAACAATAACAACAAAATATTTGTAAAAAAAGCGTGCAGACAAGAAAATGAATAAAAAGAATGACAAAGAAAAATATTGGCAAAATATAAAATAAACAAAAATGAAGTGATAGTTTTAAGAAAACAGCAAAAATAGTCCTATTATTGCCAGCAATAACAACAACAATAATAACAGATAAAAGAAAATTTTACAAATCTTTAGCAAAAAAACATAATTTTTAATAAATTATTAAGAATTTTTATTAAAATTCACAATAACAAGCCATCGTGTGTTTACTAGTGTGTGTGTGTAAAAGAAAAAGGGAGTAAAAGAGGGTGTGTGTGTAAAAGAGAGTTTTTTTTTGCACTTCCTGTTTACACGTTTATTTTATTATTACATTTTCCCCCAAACGTCCTTTACAAAAACTTAAATCTCTGTTTCCACTACAACGGCTGCAACTACCCTCTCTCTTTTCAAGTAACGTTAGTTTAACTGTCAAATATTACTTAGAATTACAACAAATAAAGCAAAAAAAAATTTTTTTTCAGTGATTTACAAAACAAAATAAACAAAATTTCAAATTATTAAATTAAATGTTTAGTTTATAATAAAACAAGTGTAATTTACTAAAATTTTATTAAAAAAATTTTACGCAGAAAACACCAACAACATGATATCCTAAACTTCTTCCAAACGCGCCTGTCAGTCTGTGTATAGTTTCCACTTACACTTTGCTGTTTTCTTTTATGGAATTTTCTTAATGCTCATTATGGATTATAAAACTACTACTAAGTCTACCACCTCGCACCGGCTGTCCCGACATTCCTATACTACGTCTACAATATCAACAATTTTTACGCCAATGAAGCCGGCTTTTTGCACCATGTTCCTGGGAAAATGTTTTTTGTTTTTATTATTGATCAGTTTGTTAACCGTGGATTTTGTACAAGCAAGTCAAGGTAAGTGGATAAGAATTTCTCTCATATTAGAACTCAATTTACATCAGTGATTAAATTTTTATAAAACAATCCGGTTTCTATAGAAAATTGTCCTCAATCATAAAGTTTTAATAAACATTTTCATCAGTGATAAATTTCTAGTTCAGTACTAGTTCAGTTCTAGTTCAGTTCTAGTTCAGTTCTAGTTCAGTTCTAGTTCAGTTCTAGTTCAGTTCTAGTTCAGTTCTAGTTCAGTTCTAGTTCAGTTCTAGTTCAGTTCTAGTTCAGTTCTAGTTCAGTTCTAGTTCAGTTCTAGTTCAGTTCTAGTTCAGTTCTAGTCAGTTCTAGTTCAGTTCTAGTTCAGTTCTAGTTCAGTTCTAGTTCAGTTCTAGTTCAGTTCTAGTTCAGTTCTAGTTCAGTTCTAGTTCAGTTCTAGTTCAGTTCTAGTTCAGTTCTAGTTCAAGTTCTAGTTCAGTTCTAGTTCAGTTCTAGTTCAGTTCTAGTTCAGTTCTAGTTCAGTTCTAGTTCAGTTCTAGTTTCAGTTCTAGTTCAGTTCTAGTTCAGTTCTAGTTCAGTTCTAGTTCAGTTCTAGTTCAGTTCTAGTTCAGTTCTAGTTCAGTTCTAGTTCAGTTCTAGTTCAGTTCTAGTTCAGTTCTAGTTCAGTTCTAGTTCAGTTCTAGTTCAGTTCTAGTTCAGTTCTAGTTCAGTTCTAGTTCAGTTCTAGTTCAGTTCTAGTTCAGTTCTAGTTCAGTTCTAGTTCAGTTCTAGTTCAGTTCTAGTTCAGTTCTAGTTCAGTTCTAGTTCAGTTCTAGTTCAGTTCTAGTTCAGTTCTAGTTCAGTTCTAGTTCAGTTCTAGTTCAGTTCTAGTTCAGTTCTAGTTCAGTTCTAGTTCAGTTCTAGTTCAGTTCTAGTTCAGTTCTAGTTCAGTTCTAGTTCAGTTCTAGTTCAGTTCTAGTTCAGTTCTAGTTCAGTTCTATTTCAATTCAGTTCTAGATTAGTTCTAGTTCAGTTCTAGTTCAGTTCTAGTTCAGTTCT